TCGTAAATGTAAAAGTACATTAAATTTCATTAATATGTACATTAATAGTTATTTCAATTACGATTAATTAAATGTCATTTATATCCGTAAATGAAAAGTATATTAAATTTCATTACACTTAATTTTTCAATTACTGTAAACTTAAATCTCATTAACGTGTGCATTAATAGTCCTTTCAGTTACAGAGAAATTAAACTTCATTCACCAATGTACATTAAAAGTTAATGAAATTTATGAACATTTCTAACAGTGTAATATATATGTCAATTACCAATTACAGATGTTTCAACCATAAGATTAGGTCCTCTTCAGTGTAATAATAAAATTATCGGAGTCAAATTGAATACGTTGTAAAACAATAGGCGAATGCTGTCAGTGAATCATCCTTAGGCTGTTGTCCAAAATTAAGAACTTCAGCCTAACGATCGGCTCTCATTCGCTTTATACTCCTTTATTGATTTAATTTTTGGAGCTTTTTTCAATTTTAATTGTTATTTTGAAGCACATTATGTTTTTTTACTAGAGACATATAAAATGCATTTGTTTAATATTTTTAGTAATTGTTTAGCAATTTTGTTTAATATTTCACATCCTACTGATTGGTATATTGTTACTTTCTGTAAAACGCGTAATTTTCTTGTGCGTGGAGTTTCTTTCTTTTTCGTTTTCTGAAAATTACAAATTTTAAACAAAACGGATTTTAAAAGTCTGCGCCTTATATGTATAAGCAATCTTGTGTTGTACCTTTCAGTACTTAACTTCTAATTTCCTTTTTAAATTATTCTATGATTCGAAGTTGATGTTACATCGAGATTTTTATACGATGAAAACGATTTAATTAAAATCCTTTATATTGTAATTACTTTAAAAAATTTAAAATATTTTCCACTTTTAAGTTTCTTTTTAAATATTACTCTCTTTCCGCTTCTTTCTGTAATTAATGGACTAATTAATGATCATAATTGATCTCTCGCTGTTCTCTCTTCGTTCGGCTCTTTCGAGCTTCTTTTTCAAACACAAACTACGGAGCCCGTTATACTGCAGAGTTAGTATGCTTCGCTATTAATCCGTAACCATTAATCGTTATTCCGATGTCGGGGGGAATAAACAGAAGCAGCCAGTATGGGAGATAACGGGCGCCGAGTTTACGAACCAGGGGGTGCACACCGCGGACGGCATCAGCATCCGATTTCCGCGTGTCACGCGGATTCGCCATGACAAAGACTGGTCAACGGCTACCACCCTGGACGAGCTGCGTGTTCTCTTCAAAAGGAAGCCCGAGTCCGTTGATTTCGGCCGCTTGCTCGGTACGTTAACTGATGTAAAGACTTCTCTGAGGAAGAAACCGTCCGATCCCGCAAAGAACACATCGCCGAAGAAGATCGAGAGCTCGAGAACGAACTTCTGGGACGAGCCATCGACGAGCTCTAGAGCTGAGAAAGAGCTGCCGGAAGACATCGAGGAGGAAGTCAAAGAAGTACCGCTTCAGGAAGGAATCCTCAAAAGACGAAAAGAGAATGACTGCGACGAAGAATCGTCCGACAAAGTTCGGTCGGAGAGGAAGAAAGTGAAACGTGAGATTAAGAGAAAAACGGAGGATCCCTCGTCAACAAAATTAAAAAAGGAAGGAAAATCGAATTCGAGGACGGAAGGATCCTTCGAGTCTTCGTTCGATGCGAGTTCCATTGATTCGGATGTTGAGGTTACCGTAAGTGATATCGTTTCTTTCTTCGATAAAAATTATTTCTCGACTTCTACAAAATTTTCTAAATTTCTATCTTTCTTTTCAGAAAATATCGCTGTTTAATAAACGCTTGTCATATTCTGTCTTCTTACACGGTTTAAAACACGTTGTATAAAAGTTTCCGAACTTTTTTCTACAAGTACGAAATATTTTCTACTCTCTCTCTCTCTCTATTGTAAAATTACTTATTCATCTGATAACTTTCTGTGATTATTTCTTTCCTAAAGTTAAAAATGAAGTTGAAAGAACATATTTTACGTGGAAATTGTAAGATATAAAAGATTTAAATTGAGGTCATATTTTCTCCATTTTAAAAGAAGTTTGTTACAAATGTTTTTAGATTTGTACGATTGTTATTATATAGAGACTGTATTATTTTAGATAGAATAATAAATAAATAAAAGTAAAAATCATATAAGAAATTAGATTTTTATACAAAATTCGGAAATTTTTGAGACAGATTGTGTATCCCCTATTGATTCGTTTTTACTCAGTTAATTAATTTGTTTATTAATTCTACTGCGCTCAAATAACATTCACATGGTCACATCGCCCAATTAATATTATTCAAGCGCTCGTTAAATACCGCGCTCTGTTTACTCCGATCTGTCTATGTTTGTGCTTGAAAACCGTTTATTTATTTATGTTACGTAGACAGTTATTGTATGTGTGGAAACGCTATCTGGCACGCCTGAATTCAACGACTGAATTTCTCCGTACATTCAAGGAACGGATATCTTTTCGCTGTTAATTAATCATCTAAATTTCTTAAATTCTTCTTGTGAAAAAAATAAGGAAATGTCCGTCTCGCTAATTTCTTGTAATCAGCCAACGTGTCCTATCAACGATCTTTCACAAACCTATTCCCGCTATTCGCAATTCGCTATCTCTATTGGCGATGTTGAATCATCGTGCCGCCGAAGTCGGTCTTCTCCATTTTGTCTTCTTAGAAGTTATCTAATCGCCACTTACCTAGTTGCGAATGGGAGGGCTCCGATTGCACACATCGCATATTGCACACATGTATCGCTGATTGGCCAATTTAAAAATAAAATAATCTCATTGGCAAAACAGTGAAAAATTACTAGGCACCAGTTGATATGAGTGGTGTGTACAATCAGAACTGTAGCCAAACGGGATCCTCCCGTTACGAATATTTACCGCTAGTTCGTCGCACATATGTCCACTTTTAACTTTGTTGCATTTATTTAACTGAGCTCAGCTTCGAGGTTATTTTATATATTATTTTGTACATTAAATTTATTTATATAAAATTATTTATATGTACTGTAAATAATTATATATGTATATACACTCTAAATTTTTTATAGTGAAGTCTCACTCCCCCCAAGAAAGTGAAAATACAACCATCCTTGAAAAAAAAGTGAAAATATTTGACTTTTTGAAAAAGAGTGACAATTTTCACTCTTTTTAGGGTGAATTTTCACTTCAAAGGAGTGAGATCTCACTCCAAAAAGGTGAAATTTCACTCTAAAAAGAGTAAAGATCATAACTTTTTTTCAAGAAGTGAAATATTTTCATTTTTTTTCAAAGATGGTTGCATTTTTACTCTATTTGGAGTGAGATTTCACTGCAAGAAATTTAGAGTGTAATTATTACATTTTATTATGTAATTACGTATTATTATATATTACAATATTATAAAAAATTAGTAAATGTTCCTCTGTACACAGCCAACCCCAAATGACCTCCGACTGACCTTGACATTGATCTCTGAGAAGGTTAAGATCATTGACCTTTTCCGTTGCTCGTTAAAAAGTTATCAATAAAACCGTTTGTATGAATAAGACACTTTTTTCAACACAACATACACATTCCAACATGAAGAATGTATAACATTTTATTCATTACTTGACGATACATCATTTAATGGATATAAAGAAGTCATTAATTTAAAAAATTGCGGTATTCTACCATTAAAATCGTTTTTTAAACATAAATTCTGCTAAATAATGTTCGTATTGTCCTTCACGTACACCAAATCGTGGTAAAGCAGAACACATATCACGCCATAACCGCTCAATATTTTGTGTATGCATACCAGGTTCAGGATCAACAAAATTAATAGAGTGATTAACGATCTGATGTACATCAAGTTCAATCAAGTTCTTTTAAAGGCACATACCCTTTCCACGAATCACTGTAAATTATACTGCCTTGTGCAATACGATCCTGAATTATTCTCGTTAACGTTTGTGCAGCCGAAAACCCCGGACATTTCGTTTGCTACCCCGGACGCATACATTTGCTTACCTTTTTTGGTGCTCTAGAAATAATTATTTCACATATAAGTCTTTTAAATTTTTAGATAAATAATATTTCCATTAACAGGGGTTTTTCTTTAATTGATAATACGTTATCAAAAAATATTTGACCTATCTTCTTAATAGCATTTTCGGCCCGATCGGGTTTGCACCAATCTTGGTTGGATTAATCTTTCCTATTGGTTGACGTCACACGCTCTACCAATAGGAGAGTACAAAACACCATTAATCCAACCCAGGTTGGTGCAAACCCAGCTGGGCCAAAAACCCTATAAGTACATATATTTAGTTGCTTTTTCCTTACAAATTGCACAATACTATCACTTCTTTATTATCATGTTTACAGTATAACATCATTATCATGTTTCAGGGACGAAGTAAAATTTTTCAGTGTATGGAGTTCCCGAGGATTGATTGAGGGAGAGGAGAAGAGGAGGGGGGATAAATATATTTCCTCATACATATCTTTTCTACATAGCAAAAGTAGCCGCTCTAATTTTATTTTTTTAAATAAAATTATTAATGAGCTCTTCCATATTTAACTTATCGACCATTTCTCGATAAATGTACAATGTTGCAATATGATTTAAACGTTTATGTTTCATTATCAATTGGACATAACTTTTTAAATGTCTTAGATAAGAAAATGATCTTTCATTCAAACAAGTTGATGCAGGAATCGTTAAAAGAACGCGAATAAATTTTTCTGGTACAAGATCTCTGATCTCGGGATTATCATGTAAAAATTACATTACATCGTTTAAGCAATGCAGTGGCATCTTTCGTATGTTTGTAATTTTTAAATTACAATTCCTAATTTCTAAATTTCTTCCCGACCAAATATCATACAAATATGAAATTCAGTGTATGGAGTACTCCATACCAACCATAATGGAGTCGCCGCCCATGTCATGTTTACAGTATAATATCTTACAGGTCGCGCGCAACCGACGCGACACGTGATATCCAATGAGCGTATAGCTTTACCGATGTTCTCATTCTAAAGCTATACGCTCATTGAATATCACGTGTGGCGCGCGACGAACATCGCGCTGATGTGCAGCTGGCATTACACTATATGCGGATAAATTTTATTCTCAACCTGCGTCCTACAGGGCTGCCAATCTTTAATGTCAACGCTACACTTACACGCCAAAGTTTTTTTTGCCATCCAGTCAAAAAATATTTCCTTTTTATATAAAACCCCGGACTCTCATGATTATCCCGGACGCCTTTCGAAAACCCCCCTGGATGTCCCCGGACGTCATAAAAAAAGAGGATGGTGTCCGGGGAAAAGAGGACGGATGGCAACCCTAGATTAGGGTTAGGTTATTATATATACCCATGGGTATATATAACTTAACCCTAACCAAACCATATGGTATAAATAATTTATAAAATCTTCATAATTGTAAGTTAAATAAAGAAAATCGTAGAGCAACATCTTCGCTCTACCAAGTCAGACAAAGGACTGTTACAATATACTCAAATAACAATGAGTTTGCTTTCCACAATATTATTATTCTCAAATTCTTAACACCAACGTACAAACATTAACTTACGTGGACCAAAACTCATACTATATTGCTGAAATATGTACCAAATGTGTTCGAAAATTACTTATTATTCATAAAAACGTTTTTATTAATAACTTTTCAATGAATAGCGAGCGATGGAAAAGGTCAATGATCTTGATTTTCTTGAGAGTCAAGGTCAAGATTAAAGTCACTCGGAGATCATTTGGGGCTGGCTGTGTAAAGGGGAACATTTACCAAAAAATTGTACATACCATATAGATTATTTTTTAGATACTTACTATATAGACATTTATATTGATTTATTTGATATACTGTTTTTAACTTTTCTGCATGAATTTTTATTTTTTTTCTTCTTTAGCCTGTATTACCTTTAGCTTCACGTATTATTAGATATTATTTCTCTCGATTGCATTATCTTGCTCTTTTTCACTCTGTCAATCGCAATTTTTCTTTTAGAAATTCAGTAATGTGCTGCAAGAGGTGCGAGCGAGTCTCGCGCCTGGTTTCGACACGAGCAGGAAGAAGGACACGCGAAGGATGCTTAAAACGTATCCTTTTTCTTATAATTATTTCGATAATTCGCGGGCCGCTATACTCACAGTAATTACGTTATCTTTACACTCGCATTACATTTGCAATTTCATAAAAGCTCAATGATGGCCGTGCTCGCCCCTGGTAATTTCATAAATTTTTATCATCCCCGTTCTCTTCGGTGTGCCACTCTGTTACAGAATTAAGCAAAACAAAACCATAATTTTACTTACACTTTCTTCTCTTGCATTGAAAGCAAAAATTTGTTTTTCTTTATTTTAACAGAGTTTAGTTCTTTTATTGATTTCTGTTTTACATTTGATTTAAAATAAATCATTATAAACCAAAATACACATTAAAAAAACACTTGGTATTTGTGTTAGAAACATTTTTATGCATTTACTGAATAAAAATGTTTATTTTACTTATTATTTATATCTGGATATTTTACTATATTAAAATTTACTATATTTAAAATTATTATAATTTACGGTACATATTTTTATGTTTGAAAAAACTCTATCATATATGATTATTATTATTATTAACATTATGGCAGCAATAACATAAAAATTAGGAGCTTCTAACTATAATTATTTTATAATGCAATTATAGCTACAAACAAAATACTTTTCTGTCAGTGAAGGAAATATGTAACAAATTTACGAACTATTAAGAAACAAAACACTCGACGGTACAACGCGGTGCAGTGTGCATTATAAATCAGATTCTCAATGCGTTACAATTGCCAGAGATGTACAGACTCGTGTACTTAAAATTCTTATTCCCGAAAGGATCGTCTGGTTCATTCCCGTCGCTGGAATCGTCCCCGCGACGTTACCGCGGTGCGATCCCATATCCACGTTTCTCGTTCATACGAGAAATACCTCCCGCGGCGAGTTTAAAGCCATTCTGACGTCCTCAGACTACAATCTTCCTTGACAACGTTGATATGTTAGACTCGGCGCCATGATAGTTACGTTGGTGAACGGACACGACTCGACAGCAACCCACGTCATCCACACCCGCGCGGAAATTCCGTCCTCGGCTATCCTCGGGGTAAGTTTGAACTAGTTTAAACGGCATGATGCACACATGTTCCCTCAAGATTGTAATACGTGATTATGTGGAGGGTGCGACGAAGGAACCGGCGAGAAATTTAATTTTGAGCAGAATGACTCTGAGAAAAATCTGTTGGGTTTCAGAATAAAAATACTCATCTCTTACGTGTAAAAATCTGCAAATGTTTGAGTTAAAAAATATTTGATAAGTAATATAGACGTAGCGGATAAAAATTTCATGTTCGGTGGTGAGCCAATAAGCAACTTTAATTTTGCCCCTAAAAATCAAAGCGGTGTATATTAATTCCTTCAGACATGGAATAATGTTAAACAATCTTTTCTTTTAATTAAAAGGGTTACTTTAATAAATATAATAATTCATACTAAAAAGATAATTTTTATTCAAAATTTTGACTATTTTTCGACATGTTTATTTGTTACATACGTCTAGTCTCAGATGATGTCGATAGAACTATATAATGTCTTCTTTGTTGTACATTACAATGTATACAGAGTCTGAAGGAGTTAAATTAAAGTTAATTTGTGTATTATTAACATAAACTATAATTTTAAATAAAAAATAAAATCGATTCACAGTATTGAATGACGGGTAATTCTAAAAAGCAAAGGTTTTATTTTTTTGTTTAAAATTATAGTTTATATATTGATAATATATGAATGTTAATTATTGTAGCATTATTTATATAAAAGACTTCTATTAATTTTTAAATATTTTTAAAATGAAGACTTCTATTTTTAAATGTTTTTAGAATAAAGATATCTATTAATTTATAAATAATCGTTAACTTTATTTAACTTTTCTTTAGTGTTTGCAATTTCGCACTCTCTCCTAATTACTGACTCACCCACATATATTTTATTACAATATTTTTTCCCTCTCACTCTTCCCTAATACTTATTAACCTACAATATATTAATTATATGATATATTATATTATATATACTATAATGTAGGTATGTAATTGCATACAGTAAAAATTTATCCTCTTCAAATGTACGTTTGTCGCAAAATTTTTACCGAGGGGATTGCATTTTTGTTCTCATTCTTCTCTATTTATTGGCTCACCTACGTATTATACATTATATTGTTGGTATATAATTGCATATAAGTTAATTATATTTTGAGTAAAACTATTGTTTTCAAACATATATAATTCGTCGCAATATTTTCACTGAAGGTTGCACTATTCTCGTTCGGTCCTAAGCCTAATCGTCCCTCCGTTCGCGATAACAGCCCGCGCTGATCCATTATCTAACGGTCGCCAGGCGGTTTTACTGCTTTTATCAGCGAAAAATCGCGACAGCGCGGAAATTTAACACCCATACGACGGGAACAGAAAAAGTTAAAGGACCATAACCGGATTAATCGCGGTTAATACTTACTGCGGTCATTACTGTCTACGACCCCCGATGTTCAGCATTTTTCGCTATCCTGGTAGCAAGTTCCCGGGTTTGCTCGATTAATCGTCAGAGCCGATTACCGGCTGTCGCTGTTAATTTTCCGTCGTTCAACTCTGGCGGTTGCGGAAAGCATATATTTGCGTGTCGCAAGCGGAACGTGACATAAGGACGTCACGGAAATTCGCGTCGCCGTTCCACGATTTTACACCGAAGAATTTTTTATTCTTCCACTTTGCCCTCTCCCCTATTTTATATCGTATTCCTTGTTATAACATACAATGCTTGCGTCATCAGTGCTTATCGGATTTATCAGAAGGTTTATTCGTTCTTTTTCTCGTTTATTAATGGCGAGAGTCGTGTGGGCGAAAACGAATAAATTCCAGCGATTATGATTTAAAAATATATCTCGTTTTATTTAATTTAAAACCTAAGAAACGTAAATAATCATTTTCTAAGACACTTGACACGTCGCTCGGAAAAGAACACGGAAAGGCGAGAAAAGGATATTCCTGTAATCGAGACATTACGTTGATTAAATTCTTTCGAAGTCAATATTTGCACTTTGGCTCTCCCCGCCGGCTCTCGCGAAGGAAAAGGCAAAATGAATGAACTTTCCGATAATAATACGTGAGACATTATCGTGAAATATTGCTCTTTTCATTTGCAAGGAGTACGCGGTCTTTCCGCGGACCGTCAGGCACGTGAACGTCTCCTGGCTGGAGGAAACCGCCGCGCAGTCCAGGAAGCAGGACGAAATTCGACACGCGGTCCAGCTGACCGGCGATTACTGTGATTGCCCATGCACGCATCGTTAACGCAACAAATACATACATGCACGTATTCCGTATACAATGATTTATGAACAACTCGTGTTTTGTAAATGTCTTTAATAATAAAATTTGTAAATGTTAATTAAGTATGTGAAGTTGTAACAAAGCAAAATTTAAGTGTCTTCTGGTGAAAATAAGAAATAAAATTAAGTAGCAAGGAAAAAGTACAGAGGCTTTTTGATCGAGAATAATATATACATATTCATGTAGTTACATAGTTTGTGGAACATGAAAATATACTCACAAATAACAGACGTGATATAAATTATGGAGAAATAATATGTAATAATATTTATAATATTTAGATATAGAAACATTATAGATAACGAATTTACAAGGTTAGTAAGCAATTATTAATATCTCTTGTTTGTTTAATTATTTTCATGTATTGTGTATACCTGCAGAATATTGTATATAATAACCTTTTTATTAATTCATATTGCAAATAATTTCCATACTATGAAGATATATTGGTTCTAGAATATTGTGTTTTAATGCGACTCGGGCACGCCAAGTTTTTTCTTCACTATAATCCAGTTGATTATTTTAATCACTTTTAATCTGTTTTATGTGTCTTGCATTATAAAATATTTGGCTAATTGCATTTATTTCGCATTCGTTTTTTATTAAAAGGAATGTAAAATTCGATACCTTTTTTATGCACTTGGCGTATTTTTTTTTTTTTAGTGATAACTAATGTGCAGAAAATGTAACCATACAATTAGCGAATTGCAAGCAGACCCAATTTGCTAAGTGATATTTCGACGATTAAATTCACGCAGGATCGCAAACAAGTAACACGTTGCGATGAATTAAATTCGCGACATTTACAATAATACGTGATGATGTGGCAATAAAGTTCGGTGAATGTTATGAGAAAATAAACACTTAATTAATATACGAATGACCTTTATTGTCCTTTAAAGTAATCCCCCCCCCCCCCTTCTAGAGACGATACGATCTGACAACGTTTGTACAGCTTGTGGAAACTCTGTGAAAAGTCATCTTTGGATATCACTTTAAATCTTGTTACCATTATGTGATAACAAAATTTAATATCCAAAATTAAGATTATTTTGAAGAGTATTAAATAAAGGTTATTTGTATAATTTAGTGGTGTTTATTTTTTCATAATATTCACCGAATTTTATTGCCACACGTAATGTGTAAATATACCTGTTAATAGATACGACTAAATCAAACTTTTGAAGATATACATATATGATTCTAAATAAATTCAAGGTCTTAAACGGTCTAGCTGGATCTTAATGTTTGTATGATTCTTATGTGAATTTATATACTAATGTATACTAATGTATGTAGTCCCCAGAAACGCGCGCCGAAATGGTTTTTCGGTCTTGAAACGCTAACTCTATTAAACTACCGCAGTAATATCACAAGTTAAATTGACTGGCAATTTAACACATTTTTGATGCTTATTCGCATCTTCGAAACGATCTTAATAATGATGAATAACATATTAAAATCTGTAAATAATTAATTCTTATTGCGAAAAAATATTACCTCGGCTGGGAGTCGAACCCGGATCTCTTGCATACCGTGCGAGCGTCCTGAGCCTTTAGACTACCGAGGCCTTAGTAATATTC